TAGTCGTGACGGTGGGAAAAATCGAGGGCATCCCCTGCCCCACCACCCTGGAGCAGCTGGAAAGCGGCGCAGACTCTCCAGTGATTGCCTACAGCTATTATGTGACGTATGAGTTCGCCGAGGGGGAAACCAGCAAGGGTGCTAAGAGTGCTCAGGTCTGTGCGCGCAGGGATTGCAGCACACAGCAAGGGAACTGGGGGAGGCAGAGGGTTAGAGGGATCGGCAGCCTTTTACCTTCAGGTCACACAGCCCGGGTCAGCAGTGACTGAAAGCTGTTCCCATCCAGTGGCTGTGTGAAATAAGTTTGGTGAGTTCCCAGCAGCCCGGGTCTGAGGGGACACCACCTATATCACAGAGAACATGGGCCTGCAACTGCCTCCTTTTGGAGATCTCAGCAAAGATGCTGACGCGTGACTTGACGCTGGAAACTAACTTCCCATCGCCCCTCTGGAGTTGGTCCCTGACAGTGTGGGGCAGCTGTGCTGCTGATTTCTATTGCAAATCTCACCCCCTGGAATAGCTCTGGGCCCTTGAGGCTTGTGAGCACCCCAGAATCTCAGCTCCAAATGAAAGGAAAGTAAGTTTCTGGTTTTCTCACTGCAGAGATAAATTTCAAACCGTGAACCAGAAAGGGAGAAAAGGAAGATAAAAAGTGCAAATGTAATAACTTGAAATGTTGCAACGGAGCAGCCCTGGTTGATGCATAGCTAGGCTGCAAATGTGGCCTTGATGTTTTTCCACCACCTTGTGCAGACCAGCCCCAAACTGTTGTGAACTGACCCTCTCCGGGCCCCGGCCCCGCGTGCTGTGCTGCTGCAGCAGGCTGTGGTGTTGAGATAAGTTTGTTTGGATAAATGTGATATCTTTTATTAGACCGACTCAAATAGTTGGAAACATTCTTCTTAGCCTCAGCCTGATGAAGGGTTTAAAAACCCTTCATCAGGCTGAGGAAGCATCTGCAGTTGGTGTGAGCTCTTCCTGGACCTGCCAGTGCTTCCTCAGCCTGACGAAGGGTTTTCAAACCCGAAGGCTTGCTAAGAATTTTTCCAACTATTTGAGTCGGTCTAATAACAGATATCACGTTTACCGAAAGGACCTTGTCTGCGTAGACCAACACGGCTACAACCTACACCCCTGTACAGAGGGATGCTCTTATGTATTGAAGTATGTGGACTTGGTCCCGGGGGCATCAGTAGGACCCTGTGCGGCATTACTGGCCTGCCAGTGCACCTTCCCTGGGTCTTGCGATGGAGGGAGACTGTGGCCTGGTATTTCAGCGCTGCCCCTTGCTCCCCTTGCATCCTGTGCCCCGCTGCAGTCTCAGCCATCACTTGGCCTCTCCCACAGCTGCTTCTGATGCCTTTCTGTTATAGGTACCCAAACTCCAGGAGAGCTGTGCTGCGGCTACACCATACCCCAAGAGTCCAGAAAGGGGCACCCGTGAAGGGGATGAAGTGCAGTCTCTATCCCAACAGGAGCCGTCTGCTAATCCTGGTAAACACATCAAGCGAATGCGGGGGGCACATCATTCCCCTTGCTATGTCATCCGCTGCCTCTTTCGAATGCGTTGCCATGAACAAGGTTCCCAGCACCGTAGGCCACAGCCAGCTCCGTAATCAAGACCAGGCCTATCAATAATGAATGGGGGGTATTAGTCTCCAGCGGGTCACCTGATCCGGGGTGGGCGTTGCTGCCCAAACCATTCAGGTGAATGCAAACCAGATTCTCACGTCTTTGAGGGCTGCTTTGAATCTCTCCTTTCATTCAGCTGGACAGTGACAGTATTATAGGCTGGAGCTGACAGTTGCGCTCTGTGGCTGTAGGGGTGGTGGTCAGGCGGCTTGTTTCCATTGTTACTGTTGTGTTTTCTTTCCTAGCAAACACGCACCAAACCCTTCGAAAGCCCTGGGCGGACACTGTTGAGTGCAGCTACACGAAGGAGCATGTGGTTACAGACCTTGTAGCCCTGAAGCGTTACCTGCAGGCTGGAACCACCGTCACCGTTATGGAAGAAAAGGTAAATGCCCTGCACGGTCTGGCTGCAGGGGACCGAGTCAGGCTGAGAAAGGAAGGAGCAGTTCTTGACTGAACTGCAATGCCGGCGTTCCCTTTTCTGGGTGTGTGAACAAGTCCCCTCTCCTAGAGGAGGGCTTCTTGTGTTGGTCACAGTACTGCAGCATGAGAACCAGCCTCTTATATCTCGACAGGTGCTTTCATGGCCTGTTACTGCATCTCCGGTTGAAAATGCAAGCAAGAAGGGGAAAGCAGACAAGGGCAAACGGAAGGACAGTGCCAAGGTAAAAGGATGAGAGACTGGCTGAGCTGACAAGACAGGCCCCTGCAAACAGCACGGAAATACGGGTGAAAAGGCCAGTTTACTTTTAACAAAGCTGCCAAGCTCACCGCTCCCCACCCCAGAGCAGAGACGACCTGTGTTTCTACAGAACCGCTCAAAGGGGGTGCCGAGACAACGGCTTGGCTTGGTCATACGATGGTTTTGGTTCCAGGTGGGGGCTGCCTTCAAAAATATTGCATGGAAAAGAGAAAAACCCACCATGGGAGCCCAAAAGGATGAGAGCACATTTCCCCATCCTGTTGGGCTTTGTTTGGCAGAGGTTGTTCCCACACGAGACTGAGCCCCTCCTCCCCGGAGCGGCCAGGTTATAATCAGAGCTTTGGTTTTTGAAAACCCTCTTACATGTTTCCGAAGCTCTTGCTAAAGTCCCCTACACCTTCTTAGTCTGGGAGGGTGGCATCTGACGGCAGCCCTCGCGCTCAGCCCTGATTCGGGGTGCAGAGAGCTGAGGCCGTGGTACCCAGTGTGTAAGCCTGGCCTCTTGGGGGTGGTTGCCAGGTGTCTTGATACCATCTCAAGCCTCAGGGCACTTGCTCGTGTTTTCCCATCGGTGCTGTGCAGGGTGCTAAGCCCAGCGATAAGCCGAAACAGAAGAAGGAAGCCACGGCTGAGCTCCGCAGCGACCCACCCATCCTGAGGACCCTGGGGTCCAGACACGTGAAGCTGGAAAGCCTCTTGGCAGGCGACAAACCTGTGGCAGTCGTGTGTGACTTCGGAGTCCTGATCCCCGAGAGTATTACTCGACCGCCCTCTCCAAAGGAGAAGGTACCAGCCTGTCCCCCCCGCCCCCAGGACCCCACTGTTTACAGAGGCGCGGTGCCTCTCGGGATCTGCCCCAGGGTTTAGCTTGGTTTCATAGGCTAAACTCTTGGCTTTGAGCCCCGTCCCACTCAGCACGGAAACGCTTCTGTTCTGCAGGAGGGGAAGAAGGGCAAAGATGGGAGCAAAAAGCCGGGACCAGAGGGAGAAAGCACGGCAAGCCGGAAGCCCACGGCACCTGCCAAAGGTAACGGGGGTGGGCCCGCGTAAGCTGTGACCATTTTTACTGCGGGTCTGGCATGCTGCATGCACGAGAAACCCAACGCGGCCTGGGGGAGCGTCAGCACGAGCTTCCTCCCCCTTCCCAATGCGCAGCAAGGTCCTCGCCTGGAGGACGCGGGGGCTTGCGCTGAGCTAGCGGGAACTGCTCTCGCGCTTGCAGTTCAGCTGTGCTGGACCGGGGTCTGCACCCGCGCTGTACGTCTGCCTAGTCCTGGATGTGGACCGGCTGACCTAGGCGAGGGTGTTGCGTAGCAGTCGCGCACGGCCAGGACCGGCACCCAGCGGTCTCGCAGTGCTTTTCGTCTGCAGATCGAGATGCCCAAGCAGTACGCTTTCCCTTGGACAGAGGTGGTCCCTGGGGCACGTGAAGGGGAAGTGACTTGACCGAGGTCGCACGGCGAGTCTGTGGCAGGGCTGGGGCTAGATCCCCAGGGTCCTGCTTCGCTTCACTGGCCGCCTCCGTGGGGCTGCAAGCTCCGGGAAGCCGTGCCCCTGCCCAGGCACCACCCCTGCAAGGATGCCACAAACACGGCGCCAGCCCGCGCGTGTGCTGCTCGCAGAGCCCGGCGCCCGCCCTTTCCCGTCATTTGCACAGCTGCCGCCGCGAGCCAGCGCCGGTGCCAGCAGCTGCCAGCCCTCGCCGGGGCTGGTGCGCAGCACGCAGCTGAGCGCCGCCTCGGGCTTGGCAAAGCCGCGCGGCCAGGCCACCTTTCAGCCCGGTGTGTCCCGCAGATCTAACAGCCCGGGGCCTGCCGGCATGGGGAGCCCGCCGCGCCCCGGG